TACAGGGGGATTTCACGGCCAGAGGCGGGAGCACGGATGTGCCTCGACAAGTGGCGCCCTCAGACCTGGTCCTTGGAGGTCTTCGCTTGACTCCGCCTCCTCCTCCTCCTGCGCGTCCTCGCCCTCTGGCCCTTCTCTTCTTCTTGGCCGTCTCTTCCTGGCCTGGAACGACGAACGGGCCTTTCTTCTGCGGCCGCCTCCTGGCCGCAGCCTCCGCCACCTCTGCGCCCTTGTCCTCCAACATAGCCTATCCTCCTCCAACAGGGGGATTTTCGACGAAAAAATTTAAAAATACCCCAAACATACTCCAACAAGGTCGAAAAATATTCAAAAAAGAGTCCCCCGACTATTTTTGGACTATTTCTGGACTATGTTGGGGGTATTGTTTATTTTTCGTCGAAAATCACCCTGTAGGGGGACACGCCCGACATGATAGTAGACCTCCCTTCACTGGAAAAGGGCCCGGGACCGAAGCCGACGGACCCGGGCCCGCAAGAGTGACGGCCGCGACGCCCTCTCGCGAACCGAAAACGGCCAGCTCGCGAATCGGCGCGTCAGGATAGGAGGTCTGTCCACCCCCGAGACCCGTGCCGCAGCACCTGCGCACGGCAAGAAGCGAGTCCTGCTCGAGGAGGGGATCGCCTATACATGATCAACTTGCTCGAACTTTGGTTCTCCCGCCGAAGAGATATCGAATGTTCGTAGACCTCCGGGATACGGTACGTTTTTTCCTTTTCGTAGATTCGGCGGACAAATCAGTTTTGGGGCAAATCGACTATGTAGTCGATCCCCTACTCTATTTCTGCGAGCGCAGAGCGTTTCACTACTCGATCCTACTATGTACTCTCCTACTAGTTCTTTTTTGCTCCCCTACTATGTAGGGGAGCAGATTTTTGTTCCCCTACTATGTACTCGATCCCCTACTCGATTTCTGCGAAAAGGCTCCTGTTGGGACGGCCTTGGCGCCGGCCTCCGACGCCGCGCGCAGTCGCTGCTTCTCGGAAGGATCGCGGCTCCCCGATGGCGCAGATCGTTGGACACCGGCCGACCCTCACCCGTAGAAATATGTCGGGCGTGACCCCCTACAGGGGGATTTTCGACGAAAGATAAAGCATACCCCCAAAAAACCCCAAGAAGGTCAAAACATACTCAAAAAATAGTCCCCAGACTATTTTTGGATTATTTTTTGACAATTTTTTGAGTATTTTTAATTTTTCGTCGAAGCTCCCCCTGTAGAGGGTCACGCCCGACTTAACCGTAGGACCACCGGCGCTGGGGTCGCCGCAGCGCCGCCAGGGCACGAACCTACCAGGGTACGCCTGCCGCGCATACTGACCCATCGGTCGGAAGAAGGAGGCAGAAGCATGACATAGGAAGGCGTTGAGAGTAGGTTGTGTGTCCGCCCGCCCCCCAAGGAGGACAGGAGGGGTGAAACCACTCGATCATTGAAGTAGGGAGGCGCTTAAGTAGATTGGAATCGGGAAATCCAGAAGTACCTACTTTCAAACGGCCGATGGCTTGGTCGACCCAAAGGGGGTCCAGCTGAAAGAGGGTTGGTGCAATAGATGTGGGCAACTGTGTTGCAAATGTTTTGCGCCCGAGAATTGTATTGCATTGCGACGAATGCATTGCACGCGAAAATCCAGCAATACATTTGCGCCCCAGAATGTATTGCACGCCCCAGATATAATGCAACCCCACAACTATATATTGCATATTGCACCAAATCTATTGCACCACCCCCTTGTCGCTGGACCCCCTTTTGGGTCAACCCGAGATGGGTATCCTTGACGTCACAGGCGGCGTCCGATCGGGTGCCCAGGAGCGAAGCCGTGGCCGAGATGGCTCCGGCGCTTACCGCCACCAGGTGCGGACCAGACGAGGCACGCCGTGGCTGTCGTGGTCTAATCGCTGTCGGCCAGGCTCTGTTCGGGCGCACGCCGACACGAATCGAAGGACCACGGACCGCGGATCGGGCGTGTGGGCGCCAGATCCACGGATCGGGGGAAGCACTCCAGAACCATGGAGCCTGTGCGCCTATGCCGCCTGACCTGGCGACGGAGCGCGTGGATTCCGCATGGAAGCGAGACCCGTCGCTATGCGCTGATCCACGCGCCGTGATCCGCGCCTGGTGTGCCAAGCGGCAAAAGTCAGGATGCCCGCCAGGTTCTTTTCACAGCTTCGGGGTGCGAGGGGCATGCCCGCCTAAGATTGGCGGCGCGCAGAGAGGGGCAGGGGGAGGGGGAAGGCTTCTTGGAAGGAAGCTGCTCCTTAGAAGGCGCGGGCCCTACATCTACAGACAAGGCCCGCGCCCTCTCAGAAGCAGGGGTGCCTCTAAGAAGCCTTGCCCCTCCCCCAGACCATTAGGTCGGGCATGTCTCCCTACAGGCAAATGCTGTACGAAAAATAAGCATAATCAGAAATGCTTGACCAACAAATGTTCAAAACATCGTCCCCATATTATGTTTTTGACTACGTTTGAATGTTCCTCCTGGCCCACGACGGGCCCAAGCTTAAGTCGGGCCTGTCCTCCTACAGGGGATCTTGGATGAAAAATTGGAAAAAAAACTAATCAAGACATGCCCTCAAATGGCAAAACAATACTCCAACAATCGCCCCCAGACTATTTTTTGACTATTTCTGAATATTCCTCCTGTAGAGGGACAGGCCCGACTTACTAAGCCCAGGCGCGAGGGGCATGCCCTCCCAAGAGACGGTGCCCCAACCCTGCCCCAGGGCCCCCTGAATCGAGCTCCGCCAACAGCCATCGTGCAGCCGCGAGGAGCCCCCAACAAGAAAATCGGGTGACCCAAAAGAGGGTCCAGCTGAAAGGAGGTGGTGCAATAGAGTTGGGGCAATTGTACTGCAAGCGTACTGCGCCGGAGAATTGTATCGCATCGCGTTGCGACGAATGCATTGCTCGCAAAAATACAGCAATGCATTTGCGCCCCAGAAGGTACTGCACGCCCCAGATGTGTTGCAAACACACCAATCTATTGCACCAGATCTATTGCACCACCCCCTTGTCGCTGGACCCCCTTTTGGGGGTCAGCCCACAGGAAGAAGGAGCCCGTGGAGCCTTCCTCCTGGCCCCACGGCGGGCGGGGGCCGCGAGAGGGCTCCCCGACGGCGAGGACGGGCGCGAGAAGCAGCTCCAGGACAGGACGGGCTCCCCCTCCTCCTCCTCCCCCTCCCCTCCCCCTCCTCCTCCTCCTCCTCCTCCTCCTCCTACTCCTCCTCCCTCCTCCTCCTCCTCCTCATCCTCCTCCTCCTCCCCCTCCTCCTCCTCCTCCTCTCCCTCCCTCCCTCCCTCCCTCCCTCCCTCCCTCCCTCCCTCCCTGTCGCACCCCGGGGCCAGTTTGCACGGCGGGCCCGGCGTTTCGCCTGAGACTTCCTCACCATGTCTGATTCTGAAGCTTTACAGATGGCAACAGCTTCACAGATGGAGGGCGGGTCGTTTTCAAAATGTGGCTCTCGCTTTAGCGCCACGCACATTCTAAAACATTGCACGAATTTCACGGATTGAGGGCGGGTGGTTTTCAAAACGTGGCTCTCGCCTCAGCGCCGCGCACATTCTTTGTAAACGGTTGCAAGAGTTTCACGGATTGAAGGCGGTTCCTTTTCAACATGTGACTCTCGCATTAACGCCGCGCACATTCGTTCTCAAAAGTTGCAAGAAGCTTCACGGATTGAGGGCTGGTCTTTTTTCAAAATGTGGCTCTCGCCTAAGCGCCGCGCACATTCGTCTTAAACATTTGCAAAGGCTTCACGGATTAAGGGCGGTTCTTTTTCATAATGTGGCTCTCGCCTTTGCACCGCGTGCATTCGTTTTCGAGTTTTACGGGTTTCCGTGATCAGCGTACCAGAAATGGCGTTTTGGAAAGATTCAGGAGTACGCGGGTGCAGCGGTTATGTTGGTTCGCTGTGTTGAAGTCCAAAAAATGTCGCTCTGGCACGATTCTGGATCGCCAAGACGCAGCAGTCAGGTTGATACGTGGCGTTGAATTCCAGAGAACAATGGTTTGGCATGCTTCAGGGTCTTCAAACGGTTGACTTCCAACGAGGCAGTTCCCTCAATGAACCAATGTGGGGGCCTATAAGAGGGAGCTCGGAAGGAGGGTTAACTCCAAAATCGATGATGACTCTGGGTTTTACACTGGTCCTCCTCCTACTCCTCCTCTACCTCCTCCTCCTCCTCAATTGTCCTCCTCCTTTGTCCTCCTCCTCCTCCTCCGTCCTCCTCCTCGGTCCTCCCTCCTCCGTCCTCCTCCTCCCCTCCCCTCCTCCTCCTCCTCCTCCTCCTCCTCCTCCTCCTCCTCCTCCTCCTCCTCCTGCTCCTGCTCCTCCTCCTCCTCCTCCTCCTCCTCCGTCCTCCTCCTCCGTCCTCCTCCTCCGTCATCCTGTTCCTCCTCCGTCCTCCTGCTCCTCCTCGGGCGCGAGAACCAGATCCCCTCCAGGTCCGCAGCCCAGAGTCCTGACCGTAGGAACCTGGGGCGAACTCAGCCTCTGGCGACGAGAGCCCCCACCCCCCCCTGGAGGCCTCCGAAGGGGGGGGAAAAAAACGGCGGAGCTCCCAATCCCACAGCATGCGCCCTTGGGAGGAGGAGGAGGAGGAGGAGGAGGAGGAGGAGGAGGAGGAGGAGGGCGAGGAGGAGGAAGAGTAGGAGGAGGAGGAGGAGGAAAGCTGGGCACCACCACCGCCATCGCGAGGAGCCAAGGGGGGGTTCTCATTGAGGTCCAGCCCCCCTGTTTCGCGACGTCCCGCCCGGGACATTTCCGGCCTCAAGCTCGGGGAGGCGGGGAGGCATCGTAAACGTCCTCGCTGGAGGAGGCCCGCTGATGGTGGTGACGCTGTCCTCCTCCTCCTCCTCCTCCACCTCCTCCTCATCCTCGTCCTCCTCCTCCCCTACTCCTCCTCCTCCACCTCCTCCTCCTCCTTCTCCTCCTCCCCCCACCCCTGGACATGACGGGAGCCAACCCATGCGGAGACGGGAGAGAGCCTACGAGCTCCCAGTAGCCCAGAGGCAGCCGAACGGTGTTGAAGCCCTGCAGCGCCATTGCCTCGAAGTGTTCCTGGCTAGCGCAGGGAGACAAGCGCTGGGCAACGCTGCGGCCTGATGTTCGTGGCGAAGGAGGTGCGAGGAAGGACAGAGGTGGGGAGCAGTACCTCCCACTCTAAGTGGTCCTGATAAAGGTTGGCTATCGCCAACTTGTGCTTGTCCGCCGAAGCCCTTCAATACGACCGAGGCGGCGTCGGATTGACAACACACACTGCGTGCTATCGGTGGGGCTGAACGCGAAAACACACACACACACACATTTGGGCCAACAGACGCCCTGAGGGTAATCGACGCATGTCCTTCTCCGTGTCTGTTTGCCATGCTGTTCCCCTCTTCCTCCAAGTCAGGCTATCGCTGGCTGCGCTGCAAGGGTCGGCCGAGACAGACTGCTTCTCATGGTTCACCAGGGGGCCTGGTTTTACCCCAGAAGGAAGCAGGAGGGTCAGGAGAGGAGGGAGAAGAAGGGAAAGGAAGACGAGGGGGTGGGAGAGCGAGAGGAAGGGGGGAACATGATGAGGATGAGGATGTGGAGGAGAATGAGAGGACGAGGAGGAAGAGCAGGAGGAAGAGAAGGAATAAGATGAGGATGAGAGGTGGGGGGACGGCCATGAGGAAAGTAACACGGATAAAAGGATGAACGTCTCACCACGAAACGACTGGCACTTCAATTCTCTCCGTCACCTCCTCTTCCTCCTCCTCTTCCTCCTCCTCTTCCTCCTCCTCCTCCTCCTCCTCCTCCTCCACTCCTTTCCCTTATAAATAACGTCTCCCTGTCGCACCCCGAGGCACGTTTGTAGGGCGGGCCTGGCGTTTCGCGTGAGACTTCCTCGCTATGTATGATTCTGAACCTTACAAATTGGCAACTGTTTCACATATGGAGGGCGGTTTGTCTTCAACATGTGGCTCTCGCCTTAGCGCGGCGCACATGCTTGAATCATTTGCAAGAGCTTCACGGGTTGAGGGCGGTTCCTTCTCAAAACGTGGCTCTGGCCTTAGCGCCGCGCGCATTCGTTCTAAACAGTTGCAAGAGCGTCACGGATTGAGGGCGGGTGGCTTTCAACATGTGGCTCTCGCCTTAGTGCGGCGCGCATTCATTTTAAGGGCTTCACGCTTTGAGGGCGGGTGTTCAACATGTGGCTCTCGCCTTAGCGCCGCGCACGTTCGTTTTAAACATTTGCAAAGAGGTTCACGGATTGAGGGCGGTTCTGTTTCAACATGTGGCTCTCTTGTTAGCGCCGCGCACCTTCGTTTTGAGAATGTGCAAGAGTTGCACGTATCCCCATCATTAACGTACACCAGACATGGTGTTTTGAAAGGGTTCGGGATTGCGCGGGCGCAACACTTATGTTGATTCGCTGTGTTGACGTCCCAAGGAATGGCGTTCTGACACGACTCTCGATCGTCAGCACGCAACAATCAAGTTGATTCGTGGCGTTGGAACCCCGAGAACAATGTTTTGGCATGCTGCAGGGTCTTCAAACAATTGTCTTCAAACGAGGCCTCTCCCTCAATGGAAACGAACCGTTGTAGGGGCCTATGAAGAGGGAGCTTGGACGGAAGGTTTTATTCCAACATCGTTGATGACTCTTGGGTTTACACTGGTCCTCCTACTCCCCTTGTTCATCCTTCTCCTCTTCCTTCTCCTCCTCCTCCTCCGCATCATAGTGCTCGTCCATTCCTTGTCATTACCTGTCGCACCCCGAGGCCAGTTTTTAGGGCGGGCCGGGCAATTCGCGTGAGCCTTCCTCTCCACTGATGACTCTGAACCGTAACAAGTGGCAACAGCTTCACAGATTGAGGGCGGGTGGTTTTCAAACTGTGGTTCTCGCTATAGCGCCGCGCACATTCGATTTAAACATTTGCGAGAGCTTCACGGATTGAGGGCGGGTGGTTTTCAACATGTGGCTCTCGTCTTAGCGCCGCGCACATTCTTTTTAATCATTTGCGAGGAGTTCACGGATTGAGAGCGGGTGCTCATCAAACATTGGCCCTCGCCTTAGCGCCGCGCGCATTCGTTTTATTTGCAACAGTTTCACGGATTGAGGGCGGCTCCTATTCAAAATGTGGCTCTCGCCTGAGCGCCGCGCACATTCGTTTTGAACATGTGCAAGAGTTTCACGGGTTCGCATGATCAACGTGCCACAAAGTAAGTTTTGGAAGGACTCAGGATTACTATGGGGGTGCAACAGTTATGTTGATTCGCGGTGTTGCAGTCCCAGGAATCGCGTTCTGGCACGACTCCGGATCGTCAAGACGCAGCAGTCAGGTTGATCCGTGGCGCTGAAATCCCGAGAACAATGTTTTGGAATGCTGCAGGGTCTTCGAACAGTTGTCTTCCAACGAGGCAGTTCCCTGAATGGCAATGAACCGTTGTAGGGGCCTAAAAACAGGGAGCTTGGACTGAGGGTTAATTCCAACATCGTTGATGACTCTTGGTTTTACACTGGTCCTCCTCCTCCCCCTGCTCCTCCTCCTCCTCCTCCTCCTCCTCCTCCTCCTCCTCCTCCTCCTCCTCCTCCCTCCTCCTCCTCCTCCTCCTCCTCGCTCCTGCTCCTCCTCCCCCCCCTTCCTCCTGACCTCCTCCTCCTCCTCCTCCTCCT